CGCGCCAACCGCCCGCCGCAGAGCCTGCCGGGAGCTGTAGTCCGAGGGCCGCCGCGGAGCATGCGCAACAGAATCATTTCTGCGGGGGGCGGGACTGCCGAAGATTTACGCGCCGCAAGTTCTGCTGGGCGCTGGTGGCGCGGTGGGTGCTGGGAAGTGTAGTTCTGGGGTAGCAGAGCGGGGCATAGAGCGTCTGTTCGCAGCGGAGGGGCGCGGGTCTCGCCTCCCTGGCGGCTGTCGGTACGGTGCAGCCCTGGGGCTCTCGTGCTGCGCCGCTCTCTTGTTCTGCCCTATTGAGGGGAGGGGCCTCCCAGCCTGCAAGGCCCTAGGGGGAGCGCGTCCGGGGCAGAGCCAGGGACTGTGCACTCATGCTGGGAGTTACAGGGATAAAGCATTTTCGGAAAAGCGCGTCTAGATTGGCAGGACACTTTTCCGCAAAAAGGCCCAGTCGCCATTTTCACAATTGGGGCTTTTTTGCAGAAAATAACTCTCTGCTGTCTACACTGGCCCTTTTGCGCAAAAGTTTCTCGGAAAAAGACTGTTGCCTGAACGGGATCAGCATAGTATTTCCGCAAAAGCACTGACAATCTTACATGAGATCACCAGTGCTTTTGCGGAAATTCAAGCGGCCAGTGTAGACAGCTGGCAAGTTTTTTTGCAAAAGCAGATGATTTTGTGGAAAAACTTGCTAGTCTAGACACAGCCACTCTGTATAAATTCATGGTAGCCACATCTTGAATGCTGCATACAGATGCAGTTGCCTCATTTAAAAAAAAAAAAAGATACATTTTGCATGGGAAAACCACTCAGAAAAGGGCAACAAATTATTAGGACATGGAACAGCTGCCATATTAGGTATCAGAGGGGTAGCCATGTTAGTCTGCAATATTAGGAGAGTTAATAAGACCAGAATTTTTCAGCTGGGAAAAAGATGACAAAGGTGGAAATGAGAGGTGTACACAAATCTGTAACTAGTGTGAAAAAAAGTTTCAGAGGGGTAGCTGTGTTAGACAATATCTAGAAAAATAGTCTGGCAGCACCTAAGAGGCTAACAAAAACTGTAGATGGTATCATGAGGTTGCGACCACAAAAGCTCATGAGACCATTTACATTTTTTTAGTCTAAGGTGCAAGACTTTGGGGGGGGGGGGGGGAGAGAGAAGAGTGAAAGAAATTTTTTACTCCTAACAAGAACTAGGGAACACTAAACTAAATTAATAGGTAGCACATTTAAAGCAAACAGAACAAAGTACTTCACACACCCTGCAGAACTCCTTAAGCAAGGAGGTTATGAAGTCCAAGACTATAACAGGGTTCAAAAAAGCCAAATACAATTCATTGACGTTAGGCCCATCTATGGCTATTAACCAGGATAGGTAGGAATGGTGTCCCCAGCTTTTGTTTGTCAGAGGATAGGAATGAGCAATAGGGGATGGATCCTTGATCACCTGTTATTCCATTTGGGCACCCAGCATTGGCCACTGTTGAAAGACAGGATACTGGGCTAGATCCATCTTTGATCTGACCATTCTTATGCCAGTTTGTCTATACACAGATGATACTTTCTCTTTAAAAGGTCATTTAAATTTTGTGAAGTTTAAAACACAGTAAGACACTAATACAGTCACTTTTGGAGGACTAAGTCAAGTGTTTTAAATGGTATTCAAAATAATCTCTGTATTAAGGGTTGTGATAGCTTAATCAGTAAGCATCCCCCCAGATATGATGCTTACCGGTTCTGGTTAACTGGTAGGGACTGGAGCAGCAGAAGCCTGCCATGGACAGGGGCTGCTCTCCTCCGAAGCAGCCCGTCTGTGGCAGGCCCAGAGACTGCTATCTAGTGTATATTTCAGAGAGCTTGTCTGTGTGTCCATCTGTCCCCCAGCTGTGCTGCTGTAGCGGCAATGGCCAGGCGCTTCTCATAGAGCTGGAGTTGTCCTCTCTTCACAGCGCTGCTTGCATCCAGAACCCCTCATTTCCAGCCCCACCCCAGAATAATGATTTAAATGCAGAAAAACAAAACTTGAGTTAAGGACCGGAATAAATCTTCTAGAGTATAAACAAGTGACAGTGACTCACTATGGGGCCTTTCCTTCCCCCATCTGTATTCAAGGAAACAAGATAATCTGGAAGACAAAAAAAGACTCAGTGACCTGTGAGGGGGATAGTGTGCCCAGTTAGCATGAACAAC